TGGGGGGCCATATTGAGAATATCAGAAATAGTTGTTTGCGCAGGCGGCCGTTTTAATCGGTAGGTGATCTTTGCCCATGCCGCCAACTCATTTTGTGTCAGGCCTGGACAATCTCCAGCCTTCTTGATGATTCCTCGCTTTTGATGAATTTTTAGCCAGGCCCCCATGAGCGCAGAAGACCGTAACTTTGTTGTGTTGTGAAGTCTGTATGACTGGCTTGGAGATGTCCGCGCCAAACACCCGGGTAATACCTCTCGAAAACGATTGTATCATTCGGTTCAGGATATTAATTTTTAGTAGTACCGGATTGGAGAGAGAAGTCTGTACTGTGACGTCGTGACGCAGCAGTGTATGGTCGACGCGGTGGTACTGTGCATTCAACCACGCCGTCAATCTTGGTCAATAAGTAGCTGAGGAATACCATATTTTTGTAAAAATGCCATGTAGTTTGCATGTTGTAAAATGAATCAACTAATCGGTTTGAAAAGGAATATGTCGTTTTAAAGGGGGTTGTGGTGTCGATAAAGTTCTCTCGGTGACATATAATAAGTTACCGCTAAAAGTGAAATTTATTGTTGGGAACCACCCCTCGCGGCGACAATATCATTACGTTTTGTAGCTACAGAATCGCCAGTGTTGCACCACGGCGCTTATTAAGCTCGCAATTCGTCTACAAATACAAAATACACTTCAATATGCAAATACATTCTGCTAAAAAGGTTTGAGATGCATGCACTTCCGCAACGATTGTTCGTAATGTATGAGTCAAATAGCCAATATCAGTATTTGCAAATGTACCCAAGACGCTTAACCATACATACATCAATGCTAGCATTTTGTATTGAATTGTTCTTGCCCCTTTCGTGATGTCACGACATACAGCCAATAGCTTTGAGCTTGTGTCGCGTATATACTGTGTTAAAAGAGTTAAGGATACGAGCACCGTACCAGCCCTCATGATGACAACGCAAAACTATTATAGTAAGGAATAACATCTTTTAAGCGGAATAAGCGTATCACAAACTTATTTTTTACTCCCCATTGAACCTACTTGTGCGCTTTCATCCTACTAGTAGGTCAGCTTATAATTAGTTCGCGAGCTTTCAACGATCTTTCATTGGCTGATAAAAAACGATTGGCAATTATAATCCTGATGACGTTAAGCTTTTTCAGAGTTCGAACGAGGTCTCCAAGATGATGTGGCTTGCCATCAAAACTCGGGTTCATGGCAAAACCAAGCAGTGTCTAGAGAAGCAAAGCGTCGTTCTAGAGGTCTTCAAAACGTCCTGACAGCACAATTCCGCAATCGAATGGGGCGAAGTTGTCGTGGAGATGAATGCTGCACAGTCGCTAAGCATCACGATTATGGGACAGCCTCTCAACAGAGACCCAGAAGGTGCCTCAGGCCAACATGATACGACAGAAACGCCCATGGGAGAAACGAAGTTGAGAGCGCAGGGCTGGTGCTAGCGAAAGACCCCATTTGGCTACCCCAAGAGAGCGTACATTTGGACAGAGCAGGCAATATTCGTCGCACCAGGCACTGTTGGGTTGGTCACCAGGTTTTAGAACTTGGTCGACGCGCTTTAGTCAAGTCTTTACCCGATGAGCTCCGTGCAGATCACTCACGAGTACACAAACTACAAGTTGAGACCATCAAACAATCACACTATTGGAAGAGTTGTTTTATCGTCCCCTCTCATGGAATCAGCACATCGTCCCTTTTTGACATTGACCCCAGAAGCTCCAGACGGAACGGACGTTAGAGCTGCATCGGCTGTGTTGCGTCCGGCCAGATGGGTGCGGATTCTATAACGGAGTGGTTATAGTTACGAGTATGTGCCTGGTAAGTGGTTCGAGGCAATCCAACGGAAATAAATAACTTCGCTCCCGTTACCTGCTAAAGTTGATCAAAGATTGTGAGGCGTACGCCACCCGTTCAGTCGACGATTTGCGAGGGTGGAGGCAGAAGCCGGAAGAAGCGTGACGGACGAATGGCGCGGAGCCGAAGCAAGCGAGCGCGAAGTGTAAGGTGTGTGTGGGCGAAGTACGTGTTGTCTACTAACAGAGTGTTCATATGTAAGAGAGCTCTGGCTCTAGCGGGTCTAATTTCGAACCGGAGAGCAGTAGCGACGACGAGTCTGGGTCGGTGGAGCCCCCCCCCCCCCCCCACGAAGAATCAAAAAAAAAAAGCGTGTGCCCATGTGCGAGGATGACGTTACCGCTCTGGATGCATCGGAGTCTGACGAGGGCTCTCCTCGCAAAGAATACCGATGCCGATTAATGGAGGAGACTGTTCTCCAGAAGTGGCACGCATTTCTTAGTGTGTTTGACGGCTATTGTGAAGCTACACACCAACCTTTCAGATATACTTGCTGCTGTAAAGCACCTATGCAAATGAAACTTATTTATTTGTATGACTGGACTAGAAAAAGAAGCTCAATCAGTGCCTCAGGTCGCAACAAGGTTAGCAAAAGGACGTGGCGGTATCCAGTGGAGCCAGATGAGGAGAATTTGTACCAGATAATATTTGTGTGCACGCACGGTTGGTCGACCAGAAGTCGAGGTGAGATTAGAGGTTTTGTACGGTTTAATCATGACTAATAGTTGCAAATGCACTTGTTTCCAGGCAAAAGGATTCGACCGATGCAAAACTTTCGTGCTTGTGACTGTAAAGCG